TGGTTCATGTTTCAGGTTGGGGATCCCGTTTTGCTGAAATTCAATGACACACCCAACGTTCCTCCCCCCCCAGTGCTTCCTTTTGCTGCCCTCTCCTCCCTCGGCCCTCATCACCTCACCTATTTTCCGGCTCCACCCCTGGGGCCACCACCCTCCTTGGACAGAAGCTGGGTCTGCTGTCCGGGTGCAGGTGCCCGCCTTTCAGCTGAGTGGTGGGCACAGAAGCAGCAGGCCCAGCTTCCGCGCCAGGAGCCAAGCTTACTTCCTGTGCGCATGCTCCTGCCACTCCACTGAGCCCGGCGCGAATCAGAAAAACAAACCGTGAACCAGTTTGTTTTTTGGAGGTCTTCGAGTAGACTTTGTCTAGAGGGGTGGGGTATAAATCTAAATGAAGTAAAGTGGTACATAGTTTGTGGTTTGTAGGAAGCTGCAAACCACAAAACATCATGACCGCACATTTTTTCCCGGTTTGTGTCCGTCTCTGTGATCCATCTAAACGTGACCCTTTTGCAGGTGTTCACCTGTGGGTGTGCAAAATTACTGTATGGATGGAGGTATGGATGGAGACAGAAGCCCGGCCTGTGGAAATCAGGAGAAACAGAGTGTGCTGCTCTCCGTTCGCCAGAGTATTACAAATCCCCTATGTAAACAAATTGTTATGCCCTAGTAGCAATGTCATGTTCTGCATCTTATGGAGCCTGATCCTGTCCCTTGATGATTTAAAGTGAGTGCAATGAACTCTGAAGTTGGCAACAAGAAAGAGGAGGAGGTGGGGGGGGAGAGTGAGCGAGCGAGCACAGCATCAGGCCCTGGGCGGAATGATTGCTCATGGCGGCTGCCCGTCCTGGTCTTGACCCATTAGGAGCACATTAAAATCCCATCAGTGTGTTTGCTTTTGCCACAGTGTGCTAATAAACCTCCCCCAAAGAGGAGGGCAGTGGCGCTGCCGTGGCAGACAACGTTGCTGGGTCAGCAAAGACGCCCTCTCTGTGCACAAAGACCGAAAGCTATTAACACACCAAGAGGGAGGAAAGATGAAAAGGCATTTGGGGGTATATGTCTGGAGAAGAGCAGGGAGAGAAGAGGGGCAGGCCTTCCTGCCGTCCTGCCCGCGTGTCTCTCTTCTTCCTGTTATTCGGTAAAGGGCAGAGTTAGAGCAAAGTTGGAAGAAAACAACAGTTAGAGGAGAAGAACAGAAAAGACAGAAAAGAGAAAGTTTACCTTTTTTTTGTATTCACGAAGGCTTTCACGGCCGGGATCTAATGGTTGTTGTGGGTTTTTCGGGCTCTGTCCAAGCTCTGTTCCTACACCAGTCCTCTGAAGATGCTGGGCACAGAGACTGGCGTAACGTCAGGAAGAACAACCTTCAGAACACGGCCAAAGAGCCCGAAAAACCCACAACAACCTTTACCTTTTTTGGGCTGTAGGTGCCAGATTCCCACAACTAGCATGCATGGCCGGTGGATTCTGTAATCTGAACAAGCAACGTTTCTCATCACAGAGGAGAGTTCTGCTGGATCATGTCAAGTCTGCTAAATGTCCCTTGTCGGGGCCAAAGCTAACCATGCCCTCTAGTAATGTAGAAGGCTTGTCAACGCCTAAACAAGAGCTACTGCATCAGCGTTGTGAGATGCATGACTGGGATACCCTTTGCATAGAGACAGCCACCAGCAATGCCCCAAAATATCTGGCATGAGACTTGCAGCTGAGAGATCTCATAGACACTACAAGAGCACTAGACTAGTAAATCCTGACCTCCAGATATTGTTTCCTGCTGCCAGAGAACAGAATGATATAGAGATAATAATAGTGGAGCTAAGTAATTGCACAGAATCCTCCATGTATAAACCATCTGATGCAATCTTTTCATTTAAAACTTCAGACAGTTTTCATAAGAAAAATAAAATAAAATCCATAACCAGAGACTTCAGTTGCCATAGCAGTGCAGTACATTTGAGGATAATGAAGGAGAAGAAGGGCTAAAATGGGTGGAAACATGCCATGTAGTCCTTATTCGTGAAAGCAAACTCCCCCGCCCCATCTTTCAATTGTGGAAGATGGCCGTGTGGGTGGCTATAACCGGAACTTGATACTTGGATGAAGCAGATTATTTAGACTCCTTTCAGTCTGGCTTCAGGCCAGGCTATGGGACAGGGAACTGCTTTGGTTGCCTTGGCGGATGACCTACGCCGGGAAGTGGACAGAGGGAGTGTGCCCTTCTTGGTTCTGCTGGACCTTTCAGTGGCGTTTGATCCTCCCAACCATAGTATCCTCCTGACCTCTATCTCCGTGTGATGGGACTTGGTGGCCCTGTTTTACTGTGGCTCTGGTCACCTGTGGGAGAGATCTCAGAAGGTGGTGCTGGGGCGCTCTGTTTAATGCCATGGCTAATGGCCTGTCATGGCTAAACAGGATTCTGTTTAGTCCCTTATGCTATTTAACGCCTACATGAAACCACCGGGAGAGGTTGTCTGGCGTTTTGGGGTTCAGTGTCACCCGTACGTGGATCACACCCAACGCCCCCTCTCCATGCCCTCTAAATCTGTGTTGGGCGGCCCCATGCCTGATTTCACAGAAAATAATCCTGTATCTGAAGCATGGTTGGAGGGCAGCCATCATTTTGGAAAATGGCCGCTGTTTGAATGGCTATCCAGAGGAAGTCTGACATGAAAGACCAGAGGAAGGGGGAGGCCAGAGAACGTGATGCTAACCCAGTGAGCAGCACCTGGTCAAGCAAACTCAACAACAGGCACAAAGATCACCCGGTCAGTGTTTTTGCCACTCAGGTGAGACACCTTCTAATTCTGCCTTCAGTTCTAAAACCTCTTTCCCTCTTTGCCTCTGTATGTATGTATGTATGTATGTATGTATGTATGTATGTATGTATGTATGTATGTATGTATGTATGTATGTATGTATGTATGTATGTATGTATGTATGTATTCATTCATTCATTCATTCATTCATTCATTCATTCATTCATTCATTCATTCATTCTTTGACTTCTACCCCACTCCTCTAGACAGAGTCTACTTGGGGCGGCTTACAAACAGTTATAAAACATCATAAATATAACCATATAAAATCATCATTATAACTATCAAAATATATCGTAAAACAATCACATGATTAAATCAATAAATTTAAAACTTCAAGACAGAGGAAAAAGGGAACTAAAGAGAAAAGAGAATCGGATGTTGACTGGAGGGAAGGCCTGCCTAAAGAGCCAAGTCTTTAAATGACTCTTAAAGACACCCAGCGAGGGTGCCAGGGTGATTTCCAGTGGCAAGGTGTTCCATAGCTGAGGGGCCACTGCCGAGAAGGCCCGGTTTCTTGTTCTTTCTTTCCAGGCTTCTCTCGGCGTTAGGCCCCTCAGCCGTCTTCCCTGGCTAAAATGGGTGATGGGGGTAGATCTTGGTGGGAGAAGGCGTTCTGCCATGTATCGAAGTCCTAAACCGTTTAGGGGTTTATAAGTCATCATTAACACTTTGAAGTCGATGCGGAAACAAATGGGAAGCCAATGCAAGGCAGCCAGAGTGGGAGAGATATGCTGGTATTTTCTCGTCCCAGTGAAAAGTCTGGCCGCTGCCTTTTGCACCATTTGAAGTTTCCGCAACAACCTCAAAGGTAGCCCCACGTAGAGCACATTGCAGTGGTCTAATCTTGAGATTACGAGCGCATGTGCAGATAAACCAGCGTCTGCACTTCTATGGCCTCTTTATCCGGGGCCATTTTTGCACCCGTGGCCAGCCTCCTCAGATGGACCTCCCCCAACCCTCCCTAAAGTAGCATATGGAAGCCGTGACCTTGCTCCCTTGACCTTCCAAAGGCTGCACCAAGCAGTTGTCCTTTAGGTGTGTTGGACTAAAATAATACCTAAGAACCGAGGCCAGGAGATCATCGGGAGTTGGAAGTCACCTAGGGCACTGGTCCCCAACCTTGGGCCTCCAGATGTTCTTGGACTTCAACTCCCAGAAATCCTGGCCAGCAGAGGTGGTGGTGAAGGCTTCTGGGAGTTGTAGTCCAAGAACATCTGGAGGCCCAAGGTTGGGAACCA